TATGATGCTCAGGAGCTGCTGTTAATATCAGCCAGGAATAGAGCCGCCAACAGCCCGAGGTCTGAATATCGGAATGCATCAGATCGCTTGGCCATCGCTGAGTACAGTAGACTCTCACTATGAATAGCCTTACAGCCTTACTCGGTTTCACCTCTGTGACGAGCCAAATGCCATCTGGTCTCGTGATGTAATGTCAAATGTAGTTGGGGATTGTCTCTGACAGACTGAGCCGTGCTGCTCCTAAACTTAAATTACTGGCTGCACTGGGGGACAAGTCAGAACTGGTTTTACCGAGTTGGCTCCAGGCGACAGGTTGAAGAAGAAATTACAGGCAGACTTCAGTCTGAGGGAAATCTAGTCGCCAGTTCGGCTTGTCGTGGTTAATGTAGTATATTCTGTACCGACACAGACTACATATCAGACACACCTCTCAGTGTAACACAAAAATATTAAACAACACCAAAAAACTACAGCTTTGAAATATAAGAATTCACTCGTAGTACGACTAGGAAACGTGTGAATATGGAAGAAACCAAATAAAAACTTTAGTTACTCCAGTAGGGTCTTTTCTCTAAGGACTTAGTGTTTTGCAATTTTGGGAAACGCATTTTTGTTGTTGAGCGTTCCACAACGACAATGAAAACACAACACCCAGGAGACATTTAGCCTAGCTTAGCATAAACGCTAGAAACGGGAAGACAGCTAGCCTTACGCTGTTCGATTGAGGTAACAAAATCCTCCTACACATAGCTTTATTGGTGTGCTGCATTTGAATTGAAAAGTTAAAAAATTTCCAAATTCCCTGCCGGAAATCTCAACTGGGATGTCCTGAGTCATGATTTGGAAAGTCAGCGTTAGCTCACTGACTCTACTTCAAAATCCAAGATGGCTGCTGAGTACATCAAGAGTAGTGAAAGTTGTAGCTATTAAAATCATTTCTGTCTTGTTTGTGTGTCATTAAATGAGTCATACAGTCAGTGTAGATACGTTACTTCAGTGTTTGTATACACAGTTGTTATCAAGCGGTATCGCTAACAATAGCTAACAATGGCTACCCTGAAAACAAAGGTTTTTCCTGGAGCATCTTGGAATTTGTATGAAAACTCGGTCAGCTGGGGTGTGGTGTCGTTCTCCACTCTGGCCTCTGAGATAAAGGGAACGCACCAGTAGAAATGAGATCTCATTCATATAACCAGATACAGAGGTGTAGCCTGTCCGACAGTCACAGTTTCTATGCTAGTTTAGCTAACTAGCGGCTACCCTGAGCTCACTGCAGTCAATGAACCTTGGAAGTCAAAGATACGTCGTTTTTGATCACTTCAATGTACAAAATATGAAAACTTAACTGAGGAAACAAATACAGACCAAAAAGTATGTTGTCTAATGTTTTAGACGTTTGATTAAAAGTAGAGAAGCTGCGTTTAGGTACAGTTTAGTGCGTAGGCGGCTGTTTTGGACAATCATCTGACTTCTGGTGGCATTTTATTTTATTTTTCCTGGATATTGAAAATTTTTAAGATTGAGTTGATGCAGAATGCAGGATTAGCACGCTATTATGAAAGTGTTCTCATCTGACTCCCAGCACAAAAGCAAACAAGCATATTGCCAAAAAGTCAAATTATTTCTTTAAAGGTCAACGACTAACAATGGGAGTTAGATTTCGAATAGAACTGCAGCACTCAGGTGTGTTATGGATCAATGTTTACTACACTTCACACCCACATGACAACAAAAGATACAGACATTTTTTTTCATTGATCTATTCAAATATCTACATTTGTGCTAAACAGAAAACAAACATCCCAAGAAATGAGAGTAAAATGAAAGATTCTGTTCTTAGAAAGGATGAAGGATGTTTCTCTTAGCTTTCTGTTTCGGGACAGTCTGTCATGATGTAAAACAAGGCTTTAGTTCGGTCTAACTCAGGCATGAGCGCCTCATGAACCGAGACACATGACTGCACACGGTCTCGGCCTGACATTGTCTTTGTCTAATGACGAAAACGGAATACATGGCCACTGTGCTGTGAACAGATGAGCTGAATGAAACTTTTGTGATCTTGATTACTATGGAGCTCGAGAGAATGCGACGAAAATAGACGTCGCTCGGAGCCACCACACCCATCATCTGGTCGTGTAGCGGAGGAAGAATTTCTCTCTGTCAGTGCAGTACGGTCCTATTTGGAGGACGCTTGCGGGATAGAATTAGTTTTTAAATCAACTTGTCCACCTCTGTAAGGTCTACGTGTGAAGCGTGTCCAGGGCTTCCCTTTCAGTAACCGGACTCCACATGCATGTGAAGCTCGGCTCGGCCCCGGATTCTTAAGGTCGCGTGTCACGTGGAGATTTTCAAAGCATGTTCTCCCTGCGGCTCACGTCCACGCACACCTGGATCTGTAGTGTGGAAATGTACCAGATGTCATTAGCCAGGGAGAATACATGATGTTTAATCTATACTCTGGTTTTAAACCCCAGACAATAAGAGTCTCATATAATAAATTATCTCTATACAACATCCCTCAACTCCACGCTAAAGTCACAGAATATACGCCTTGAATTTATTCAAAGGACAACCCCTTCAGATCTTATTCTCAAGGAGTCCTAAAAACACATGCAAATAAAACACGCACAACAAATATGCAAATACAGACAGCTGTGGTAGAAAAACATCCGTTACAAAGGGCCAGAAAATGCATGAATTAAATCAGCATCCAAAGCAGCTGAAGTGGTTTATCTGGTATGAGTGAAGCTCAAGTTGAAAGTACATGCAAATCGAGAGCATGTTTTAAGATGAGAAAATGAAGATAAAGATGGCCTGAAGCAGTGAAAAAGGGGTCGGGGTGATATATCTCAGGAAAAGAGGAACAGGCTTTTTATTAGCGCGACCTGAGTTGAAAGTTCTCCAATTTCCCTGAGGTTCTCTACCAAAGGGATCAATAAAGTTATATCGAATCTAATCTAACCTCTAATCTAGAATACTTACAGCATTTTTGTGTGTTTGGTTATCCATAAAAACAAAAGAGAAGAAGTGGCCCTAAGTTGGAAATTCATTGAACAACCTTATCAACAGCCTGGAAACCCTCAAAGACAACACATGAAGACACAAACGAGAGGAGAGCGTTTGGAGGTAAAGTAGTCGAATTCATCAGGAGATATATCCTGAAGTTCTTAAACATGTCACGTAATTGGATCACTTACAGCATTAAAACTTTGCACAGCTGGCCTTTAATGGTTCAGAAATGTCGTAAACAGGGATGTAATCAGTACCATTAATAATGGATGCGTCCCATTTTCAGCGACCTGTTGGTGTGAATGGAGGCTTGGTCGCTGCATCACACGACGTTCTGATGCTAAAAAGGTTTCCAGTGTGTGCACGCAGGAAACGGGACAAAATAACTCAATAGCGAGAGAGAGTGAAAAACAGGCGATTTTTGGCGGTCATTGTTCAGCCACAATGCAACGCACAACAGAAACACAGGAGAAAAGTCAGCGTGAAGCACCTCCAGAAAGATCTTGTCAAACACAAAAAGTATTAATTTGAAAGAATGAGTTTGCTTTGTGAAGTTTAACCAGCAGTTTGTGGACAGTATAGGTCGCATTGAAAAGAAGCATTTGTCATAGCACTCATAACACAATGTGATTCCTGTATCTTCACAGCGGCGAAACCACCCTCGGGTGAAACCAAAGACATACTTTTCCTTCAACAGCTACCCTAATTGCAACAATTAAAGAGAACACGGAGTAAAGGGTACGTTGGCGCCATTAGTCAGCGACAATTACTGCACGTTCTTCTGTGAAGCTCGGGAACAACTCGTTCATCGCTGCAACATCTAAGTCAAAACGATTATCTCTTCTTTCTTTCCATGAAGCGCGCTCGTCCTTTCTTATCTGCCGCCTCTCAGGAGGGCAAGGCCTCAGAATCGGTCGGGGAGGGGTGTGAGTCCATGTGAGCGGGGTTTTACTGTCAAGACTGAATTTACACAGCTGCTCGGCAGAAGTCGGCACACTGAGCTGCCTCTGAACCACATGTTTACATTCACCCTACATCCATAACCATACTGACTGAAATCTGAAGTCTGTGATGATTCGTGCTTTTGCTTTTCAGTTTTTGTCGAACACTTGGATGAAATGTGTTTCCAGTTTCAGCCTGACACACACATACATAGACATCAGCGGCACTTTGGGTGACACTAAATGGAGTCATCTACGCCTCCCCCCCCGCACCCACCTGTGAAAGACACCCTGATAAACCACACAGCGTCGTCTGGTTTCAGAATTACAGGGACGTTCCCGTAAAACAGAAACCCAGCTGTTGCTCCTTCATCCTCCTCGTCTCTTATTTCCTGGCAGAAGACTTCAGTTTCAGGCGGCGACATGTGACTCGGCTTCAGCGTTTTTTTTTTACACTTCGAACTTGCTCACCCAGTAAGATCAGAGGAAACCGTTCACACACTAATGGATGCATATTCTTTCAAATATCAAATGGGAATGAGGTGTCCTCTCTCACAATGTGTTTATATTGGTGGCAGTTTGTTCTAAAGAGACTAATTGAATCAGTTCAGTTTGTTCCTAATGTCATCCACAGCGGTCACACCCTCTCCTGGAACCAGTAAACCGGTCGTCTTCCCTTAATGTTTAACCACTGACTCAGCAAGACCAGAATGACTCGCTCATGAAAAATGCAAACAGCACAAGTCTGCAGCACAAGACCTGACCTATCGCTGACTGGATTTTCAAGTTTATGTGTACATTTATAAACAAATGCTGGATTTTGTTTGTCATTGCACTCAAGGGAAGCCTTGATGTTGAGGATAACCTGCCAGTGTTGCCATTAGCATCCATAAAACATCAATGTGTGTAAACAGAAGTACATATATTATTTTATATTAGCATTTACATGTTGTTCAGAGGGAAAATTAACTAGTAAATTATATTTGAATAGATCTACTTCCTCTAGTTCAGCACGACTCGACTTGAAGAAGAATACGTCACACACGTGGCTTGAGTAGTGATAGATATTTATTAGAAAAAAGAAAAGCAAAGCATTTTACAAGCCAAACACCTTTTCTAAAGAGACTGTGCTACTCGAGACAAAATCAGGTTTTATCCAGCGTTAAATAACAGAAGCCACAATCGGCAAGCAAAGAAGGATTAAAACTATGTACACAAAAAAAAATAAAAAGGAAAAAAAAAAACAAAACATGTTGACAGTGTAACATCAAGATTTCATAAATAGGCTGAGGCCCCTTTCTGGACTTGAAGCTGTAAAGAGGAAGGTCAAACGGGGTGACAGTGGGTTAAAGAGTAAGGTCGAGGCGGTATCTCACGTGACGGATACAGACTAATTTCACCGGAGCTGAGATGGGCTGGCTGGGTGGGGCACCGAGTTGATTACTGGGAGTGTGAGGGAACATCTCGTTAATGAGTTACAAGTCTAATACGCTACCGGACACTATGGTGACTCGTGGTTTGCATGCCTAGTCTACAAAGACAAACATACACTCTGCCTGTTTGTACAAGTGTCTTAGTAAGACGGGGAGTACACAAAGGGATCTAACAGGGGACTGAGAGCCAAGCATGTACAGATGCTTCACCTGACTAACTCCCAGCCCCCTGCTCTACTCTACTAATCTCATCAACTTCCACAAGCTTTCCATTTATCATTCAGCCGTTCCCTCTTTATTGTGCAGTGGCGAGTTTCATACATCCATCCTCACGCGCCAATCTAATCTCTTACAACAGATACCTCTAAACACTACGATGGATTTCTTTGTTGTGACATGTGAGCATTGGACCGGAAACACAACCTCCCTCGAGAGATTGTGCCGCATGAACTTTCTGTTGTCTAAGCCACTGAGCAGGTCTTTCCACGACGGTGCTTACGAACTTCGTCCATCAGGTCCTTGAGGTACTGTATCTCTCGGCTGATGGACTCTGCTTTCTCCGCCAGCTCGTGGTTCTTCTTCTCCAGCTCTTCGCACTCCGTGTTCAGCAGCTCCTGCTCGACCCTCTTCTTCTGCCGGTAGCGAGTAGCCGCCGTCTTGTTCTGTTCCATCTTCTTCAGTTTCTTCTCCACCACTTTGGGAGCGCCAGACACCGATTTGACCCGGGAGGCTTTGGGGGAGGAAGTAGCAATGGGCTCTGGTTTGGAGTAGGGTTTGGTCCTGGAGGAACCAGCTGCGGGGGAGGGAGTGCGAGGTGGGGAGGGAAGGCGATCCGGTGAGCCGGCAACTGACTCGATGCCAGAGTCGCTGTCGGAGTCGCTTGACACAGAGGCTTTGATGGTCTGATCGGGGAGTAAAACGGAGGATTCCTCTTTCTTGGTGAGCACCACCACAATGTGACCGGCGGTGGGAATGGAGAGCACAATGGGGCTGGGTGTTTGAATGATTCCACTGGGATCTGGGATGACGGTGGCAGTGAGGGACGTCGCAGTTTTCTCTGCATCCTGGACATCCACTTCACTCCCCAGCTCAAGGGTGTCGACCGGAGAGGGGGGGCACGGAGAGGGAGGCTCAGACTTCACAATAACCTCCTGAGCAGGAGCCACCTCTGTCTTCTTGGCCTCAGCTGCCCCTGGGAGAGGGGGCTCTAGAGGGAGGGAGGGGATGCTGGGCAGTGGCAGGTCCAGCTCGAGGCTGCTTTCTGGGACGGGGATGGTTGTCTCAAAGGAGTCGAGATCCAGATCCATGTGGGAGTCAAGTGAGGCCAAGAGATCCTCGGGAGAGCTGGGAGACTCATCGGATGAGCAGGAGCCAATGAGCGAATCCAGGTCAAATTCACTCAGGTCTATTTTCTCTGACATCCAGTCCATTCCGGTGAAAGCATCATCTGCTGACAGAGAGGGTTGTTTGTTAACGGCGAAAAGTGAAACAGAGAGTTAAACAAACAGGAGCACTGTATTGTGATTGTAGCGAACACAAAAGCTAAACTTTGGGTAAATCATATCCCCCATCTTTATAATCATGTTTTTCAACGGACAACCTTTAATCTGGATTAATCTGACCCTGTCACTCCCCTCTTAATGACTCTGTGATGCATGAAAATATCCTTGAACTGATGCCAGTAACCACAATATACAAATAAACGTCACTGTGACAAAACCGGCCTGAGCCAGTCTCAACTTGCTCAAAACCACACCTGCAAGTTGTAAACCAATGAGTGTTGTACATTGCTCAACACACCTTCCAGTTACTCACTCGTGGCTTTAATTTTGAAATTACACACAAGTATGCTCAGTGTAGAGTCAGTAACACAAGGCTGAACATTTTAACTAATTACTAAATTCATTAACTCACGTCAACAGTTTTCACTTTTGCCTACAGGCGTATTGTAACGTGGCGCTGTCTTTTTACAAGGACAGCCACGACACACGACCAGTTTCACATCTAGGTCACTGTCTGCAAGGCAACCTCAAATGCTTTCCTGACACAAAACCACACATATAAAATATTTACTGCAAGTCTGAAAGCAATTAGCATTCCAGACTCCACAATCAACTCTAAGAGACGTGGAAACTGAGATGGAAACGTTTTCAGGGGCCTTATGGAGACAAAGAATAACTTTTGACTTGCAAACTAGTTTAAATATCAGCTATATTTAAAAATGTGTTTTTTATTTTGGTATTTTTTTGTGCATCTTCTAGAGCTCAACTTAATCATTCTTCCAATCATTTGTTCCTTTACGACACAAACGGTGAGAATGATCTTATCGGACATTTAATACAAGTGAATTGTAAGTCACGCTCACCCTTGCCATCGTCTGCTCCAACGTGGGCGTCGAGCAGATCGCTGGCACCGAGCCAGGACAGGGACAGCAAGTCCGTTCCGGCTTTGGTTCCCAGGAACAAGGAGGAGTGGGTGGGAGGAGGAGGAGAGGGAGGTGGGGAGGCAGAAGGGAGAGGGGACAACGACAAGGTCTGGTAAGGAGACAGGGAGGATGCATAGGAGGAGATAGAGAGGGGGGGCGAAGCTGGCTTCCCCTCTAGAGAGGAGGAGGGAGAAAGAGCTTCTTCTTCATCTTGGTCCAGAAGGGGCCCCATGTGGTCAGCCATCAGAAACGAGGGCCCTGCAGACAAAGACTCTCTCCATCAGTGTCCAACTTGTCACCCATCCTATTCCAAACTCTAGCTGCTATACATTAAAAAAAAAAGTACTTCTGCTTTGCAAATGACACATGGAACTGTGCTTAAAATGAATTATTCTTGATGACAGGTTCCTCTGGAATTACTCCACCTATTATTCGAACCGGTTGTTGTGTCTACAGCAACACCGTCAGCTGCTTTAGGGGACATGTGTCATCACAACACCCACCTGAGTACAGGTCCTCCACGTCCTCCAAGGCGAGCTGGGAGAGTGTCATGGCTGCTGCTGGTCAGTGGTAGCCGTGAACGGGTGTATGAAAACAAGGGTGAGTCTGTTGACGTTATCAAGTCGAGGGGTTCGGTACTGCTGTCGACGGCAGCAAAGCTGAGGGTGGTTGTCGCAAGAGACCTGGGTGAAGGAGACACAAAATGCACACCATGTTATTGTGAGAAAATGCAAAATTTGGCAGAAACATTTCTGAAAACTATTACTAAGACAAAAAACAAATAATCTGTAGAAGTATGCTTTATTTTTAAACATGTTGGTGTGTTTAGGTCTTTCCAACTTAAATGTCACATGGCTGGAAACTTAACATGATCAAAAAACTCCCCGACGCAGGTGTACTTCCTGAAACAAGTACACATTTCCCTTCACACGCAAACGACAGCTTCCTCATTGGTGTGTGCACTAGCGTCGGTAAGAGTGTTAGTGTCTCTGGCATGGGGGAGGGGGAGCTAATAATAGCTAATCCGCTCCTCTGAGGTGTCAGAGCGGCGTTGATGGGAAACACTCCGCCCTCCACCGGGGGATAACATTTCCTAATTTGGTCATGCTTTGGCCGGTAACTCCGCCCACCCGCATGAGTCACCGCGGAGATGTGGGAGGGCAACCGCCATTTTCACAACAGAGCCATCTGTGCGAGGCGGGGGTTCGGTGAAAACGACAGTGCGCGCCATTTTGGACACGCCACGTTGTCAGTGAATAATATACACAAACACTACGAATATGGGGAGAGAAACACTAGCAGCCGCACTGCCGCGTTTAAAACCAAAACATTTCAAATTAAGGCATTTAAAGGTCTTCGTTTCCCACGGAGAGTACCGTTATTACGCCTTACACATTCAACACAAAACGACACAACATCAACTGTAGTGTCGGCTGGGACTACTTCGGCTGACCGTCTGTAATTCGACACTTGACTTCAAACCAGGAAATCCACGTCTCAGTGTACACTTTTCATTTCCCCAGTAGTCTTTCGACCGTTTTTATTTGTTTTAAATTTTAGCGCCATTCAACAGGTACGTTAACTTTATTCGACACCTGCCAGTCCCGCCAATATGTACATTATCGACGTCGGAGACTCTCAATGTGAAAACAACCTTAAAAAATACTTACGCCATTTTGCCAAAAATAGCCAGTGCACTTAGCCGTTGCACTGCCGGGTTGTTGCCGCTGCAAAGATCGCCGCCGCACGCTTCACACTGCCATGTTAGCGCGGTAGAGCTGCCTCCAAACCACGATGATCTCTGTGTATTGTGTACAAACGAAGGACGGGCGGAGACGGGCGCAACACTATATATATAGAGCCGAAGCACTGCCGACTGTGTTCCTCCGCCGCGTCACTCCACGGGGGCGTTTGTTGTATGTGACAGTAGCAGCCCGGCTGAGAGGAGCTTCCGGTTCAGACAACCACTTTACAAGCACGAGCGACGGTAGCTCCTTCCAGCTGGGCAGGGGGTTTGACCTAAACAAACACATCCTCGTGAGCGTTATCCCTCCGCTCGACTCTTGTTTGTCATTGGCCGAATGCACATCGTCTATACAGCTGACGAGAAAAAAAAATATAGATCCATAAGTAACTCCCCGCGTCAAATGTAGGTCAAATGCAAAATGTAAACATTGGGGCAGGAAACTACTTTGTGTGTGTTTTACACTGAAGGTAAGCCTGGCAAATATATTATAAAATACAGCCTCTAAGATATTTTAGCATTTGTTGCATAACAGTTGAAACAGTGAATATTCATTGTGCACTGTTACAGTACGTCACGAGTTAAACAAAACTGTTGTTTCAGTCCTTATTCACTTTTTAAAAAATTATTATTGTTTTATTATTCTTATTATTCTTATATTCTTCTTCTTCTTCTTCTTATTATTATTATTATTATTATTGCTATTATTGTTCTTATTGGTATTGTTGTTATTATTATTATTTATTTATTTATTTTTAAACTGCAGCCAGTCACACTTTGTATATGTTTGTTTAAATAAAAAAAAAGAAAAGAAAAGAAAAAAAAATTGCCTTTATTCGTGCTCTTTTTAACTTATTGTTATTATTATTATTATTGCTATTATTGTTCTTATTGTTATTGTTTATTATTATTATTTATTTATTTATTTTTAAACTGCAGCCAGTCACACTCTGTATATGTTTGTTTAAATAAAAAAAAAGAAAAGAAAAGAAAAAAAAATTGCCTTTATTCGTGCTCTTTTTAACTCATCAGCTGCCTTGTGTTGTCCTTAAATGCTGTAGTGACGCTCAGGAGATTTCCACGTTAAGTTTCTACCTCACTAATTTTCCAGGTGCGAAATACAAAACTATTTTTGTGTTCATATCAGCTATATTTATAAGGCTTTCCCTTTTCGTGGGCTCTCCCCTTTACTGTGTGTCTTAGTCCCGTGACGGTTGTTGATGTCTGCACTGGCAGCACACTAGTCTCCAGTACAGTCATTGCAGATGGTGCTTAAACCTGATGAACCCGTCTGTCGGTCAAAGAGTTTAGCACTTGACTGCCCTCTGGTGGTTGGCTTCTGCTCTTCAGTAGTTTATTTCATTGTGTACAGGTGAACAGATGGTTAACAGAATACTTGACTCGACCCAGTAGCTGAATTAAGAAAGTATCTTGACAAGAGCACTGTGCAATTCAACAAAGAAATATTGATAGTAGGAGAGTAAATGAAATCAGTTATATACTGTATTCATCATTATGTCCATTCAGAGCAAACTGTTAAAGCTAAAGGCACTAAAGCCGCATAGAAAATAAGCTTTATCCAATTTCCACACCCATAGAAATACCTTTTGTCAAACCAAAACCTGTAGAAAATCTAAATGCATGAAAGTCAGACAAGAGATCTGCAAGTAAAAGACAAAACAAAATCACACCTCTCAACAAATTTTACCAAAGAAGTCCTTGATTTTTATGAGCTCATCCAATCCATTTTCAAGATCTTCCGCCAGCCTGCGGATCTTCAGTGCGAATTTCGACTCGAGGCCCTTCTTCACCTTCAGCCCCTTTTTTCCTTGGATGAAGAACAAATCCATCCTGAGGGCGAAGCCTTGTATCAATCCGGATGCCCTACTGTTCGCCTCTAAGGCCATGGCATTCGCCCCTCCTGTGGCAGCCAGCTGCAGCACCTTGGTATCCCTCTCCGAATCCATCTTGGTCTTACTCAGGACCAACGGACCGTGCTGCTTCAGCTGCTCCATGCCCTCGTTGATGAACTTCAAGCAGGCCTGAATCTCTTCACTGAGATGCTCGTAGTCCTGCAAGGTCTGGTCGATCTTCTTTTTGTCCTGTGTCAAGTTCACCTGGAAGGACAGATTTCACAATGTGTTGGACAGAATGTGTTTCAACCAGACGATGGCAGAACAAAAAGGTACAAGGGACAGCTAATATTGTCATTTTTTAATGTTTATAGCAC